CCTTTCTAGGGGGGTGGGGGGGAGGGGCATACATCCTAAATCCTAAACCTTAAACCCTAAACCCTTAACCCCGAACCCTAAACCCTCAACCCTAAACCCTAAACCCTAAACCCCAAACCCTAAACCCTAAACCCTAAACCCAGGGAAAGTGGAGCCTGAGTCGGCTGGCGACGCGGACGCGGCAGCGGAAGGAGCCGAAGCTCCGGAGGACCAGGCCGGAAGCCGACCGCACCGGTTTACGGTTTACGGTTTAGGGTTTAGGGTTTAGGGTTTGGGGTTTAGGGTTTGGGGTTTGGGATTTAGGGTTTAGGGTTTAGGGTTTGGGGTTTAGGGGGGGGGTTAGGGTTTAGGGCTTTGCATAGGGCGTGGGGTTTGGCGGGTAGGCTTGCCTTCGCGGTTTGGAGCCCCTGGCAGCATTTTGTCTTGAAAGGGCTCTCAGGGTTTAGGGTTTAGGGTTTAGGGTTTAGGGTTCAGGGTTCAGGGTTTAGGGTTTAGGGGTTTACTTGGAGGTTCTGAGGTTCATGGTACTTATTCACCAGTTGTAACTGTACTCGTAGCCCACTTATAAGCCCCTCAAGTGCCCTAATATGATGATTATAAGTGCAGTTGTAAGTAACTGGTTGATAAGTATTTTTCCATGAACCTCCAAGTAGGGTTTAGGGTTTAGGGTGCAGGGTTTCAGCCCCCCACCTCTAAAGGTAGTTTCATGGGCCCTTAGGATGGTCCCTTACCCTCTTTGGCATGTGAGGAGTACCCTTCTAAGGCCCATACTCAGGCCATGTAACTACCCTAAGGACCCTAAACCCCTAAACCCCTACACCCTAAACCCTAGACCCTAAACCCTAACCCTAAACCCTAAACCCCAAACCCCAAAACCCCAAACCCCAAACCCCAAACCCCCCCCCCCCCCCCCGGAGGAGAAGGCAGAACATGATGGCGCAAGCTGGGAGAGCTACCTGGACTCACGGCGCGCTTAAGAAGCGGAGGGAGCTGAACCACACCACTGGCCTGGAGGTCTGCGACTTGAAAGGGGATTTAGGGTTTAGGGTTTAGGGTTTAGGGTTTAGGGTAATTTCTAATTTCTGTAGGATTTCATACAAGGGCCCCAAGAAGCTCCAAACCCTTAACTCAAAAAGTCCTTTTCAGTGCTCCTCCCCCCCCTCATGTAGGCGGAGGAGCCAGCGAAACGCCAAACTTCCACGACGTCAAGAAGTCTGAGGAGGCGAGAAGGCAGCGGGATCCACATCTCCCCCCGTGTGAGATCCTTCCTTCCCTAATGGGGGGGGGGCGGGGGCGAGAGTCCCTGATGTCGCGATGCGCATAGGGCCAATTCGAGGAGTGCTCTCTGCGGATCAGGGACCTGCAGATGACTAGGGTGTAGGGTTTAGGGTTTAGGGTTTAGGGGGTAGGGTTTAGGGTTTAGGGTTTAGGGTTTAGGGTTTAGGGTTTGGGGTTTGGGGTTTGGGGTTTAGGGTTTAGGGTTTAGGGTTTAACTGCTGCGTGTCATTTTACTGTCGTGGAGGAGAGCTTGCTGGAATACACACACTTGGAGGGCTACAAAGTTTAGGTGCAGCTTGCGACTATCTGCAGGTAGAGAGTGTGTCCTGTGGTCGCCTGACTGCTTGGCCACTGCAGATGTAACAGCGCCAAGTCTCACTGCGCCGTTGAAGAAAGATGGCGCTGGCCTGTCACAGGCTTTCATGAAAAGGCCTACCAGAATTCTCGACCCATGGTTCTCAATCATGGGCGTTGCGCTTTGGAGTCACTCAAGGATATCAATCCAATACTGCAAAATTCTGAGGTTCAGGGTATGACATCCAACCCCATATTCCAAACCGAAGCCTTGGTTGAATACCACGTCCGTACACTCTGTGCCCCACGGGGGCATGACCGCTTGACGCCCACAACCCCCAAGACCCCCAACGCGCATAGGGAAGCCCTGACCCTGGCACCCGTCAAAACATCCCTGAAGGGTGAAACCTCAAATTCCAGGGTCAAATCCAGCTTCTATAGTCGCAGTAGCAAAACCTCTACTCATCATGCTGGCATCATCAACATCATCATCATCATCATCATCGTCATCATCATCATCATCCTGATTATCATCCTCCGAACTACTCCTAAACCCTCAACCCTCAACCCTCAACCCCCAACCCTCAACCCTCAACCAACTGCTTCTCTGCATACCCCCGAGCTCCGCAAGCGACCCTAAACCCTAAACCCTCAACCCTCAACCCTCAACCCTAAACCCTAAACCCTGCTTTGCTAAGTCCGGATGGAAGGATGCCATGAAGAAGGCTCCATGGGCCCTGAGTTCCCCATAAGTACGCATGAGTGGTGTATACTTAGGGTTTAGGGTTCAGGGTTCAGGGTTTAGGGTTTAGGGTTTAGGGTTTAGGGTTTAGGGTTTGGGGCATAGGGTTTAGGTTTAGGGTTTAGGGTTTTGGGTTTGAGGTTTAGGGTATAGGGTTTAGGGTTTAGGGTTTGGGGTTTCGAAGGTTGGAACCATGGGCCCTTAGTGTGGATCCGAAAGTATGGCCCCTTGCTATAGAAAGGGCTTTATCACAGGGTGACCCAAACTACTTAATGTTGGTTGGCAGGGAATGAGGGAATGAGCTACCCTATATCCCCCGAAATATGCCCTTTAAGGGATTCTATAGGGTACCCCATTCCCTCATTCCCTACGAACCAACAGTATGATTAAGGGCTCATACTTGGGGCCCCCTATGGTGGGAAGCCTCGCGGGGAGGAGGGCTCAGCTCGTGGGACCCCGAGCGGCTTGGGGGTTTGGGTTTAGGGATAGGGGCTGGGGGGGGCCCTAAACCCTAGACCCTAAACCCTGAACTCTGAACCCTAAACCCTAAACCCTAAGCCGAGGCATTCAGGGCTTAGGGTTTACAGTAGCGTTTGGCCTTAAAGTTTGGGGCTTCGAGGTGTTATGTGGGGTCCAGGGCATTCGGAATGAGGGTTGAGGGTTGAGGGTTGAGGGTTGAGGGTTGATAAAGGGTTTAGGGTTTAGGGTTTAGGGTTTGGAGTTTGGGGTTTGGAGTTTCGGGTTTGGGGTTCAGGGTTTAGGGAGTTTAGGGTCTAAAAAGGAACAAGTGGCCACTCTGGCGTGTGCCTTAAACCCTAAACCCTAAGCCTCAAAACACAGCTCTCAAAATTAGGGCCCCTCTCTGGGGGGGGTTTTCCCGTAAATACGAGGGGCCGCCTTATAATACGGACCCCAAAAGGGACCATGTTTTAGGAAAGTGATCACAAAACAGTTCTGCATAAATGATTGAATACTTCTTGGCTTTCATCTGGCTGGTTCTTAGGGCTTCAACCTGTTGGGTTGTTGAAGAAACTACAATGAGGAGCCTACAACTTAAACTTTTAGGAGGGGTTCAGAGGTCAGCCAAGAACCCTAAACCCTAAACCCTAAGAACTAACAACCCTAAACCCTAAGTATAAGAAACAAAGTCTCTCTAGAAATATCTGTAGGGCAGGGCGAGATTTCTGACTCAGGAGAGCAAGCACGGGCCTGCTGAAACCCTAGGGTTTAGGGTTAAGGGTTTTGGGTTTTGGGTTTAGGGTTTTTTGTTTTGGGTTTGGGGTTTAGGTTTTAGGGTTTTGGGTAATTAGTTAGCGTTCCGTTGGAATCATGACTGGAGCAATACAAGGCTCCACTCCTGATAGAATTCCACCGTACCCGTTGATTCCCCTAAGTCCTAGACCTTATCCCAGTGACGCAGGCTCTTGGGGAAGTTCCACGTTTCGACGGCTTCTAACATCCGAAAAAGACGGTCTCTGTGATCTTATATATATATATACCTGAACCCTGAACCCAAAAGCCTAAACCCTAAACCCTAAACCCTAAACCCTAAACCCTAAACCCTAAACCCTAAACCCTAAACCCTAAACCCTATAAACCCTAAACCCTAAACCCTAAACCCTAAAAGGCCCTAAACCCTAAAAGGCCCTGAACCCTGAACCCTGAACCCTAAACCCTAAACCCTAACCCTAAACCCTGCGCCCTCAACCCCTCCTGAAGTTTTTCAGTTTTGCCTCCATATCCCCTGCATCTCCTTTATTTGGGTTCTTCAGTTCTGCTTCGCCAAAATCAATAGGTTGCCCCCAGAAACTTGACTCCAAACCCCGGGTCTGAAAGTTTAGGGTTTAGGGTTTAGGGTTTAGGGAGGACTAAGGATCCTAGAGTTGAGAGGCGGCTTGAAGGGTTTCGTGGTTGAAGCGTTTCGTGTCGGGCGCATCATGTCTGGAGCCAACCCGTCTTGGGACTTAATACTGGGAGAGTGGGTTTAGGGTTTAGGGTTTAGGATTTGGGGTTTAGGGTATAGGGTTTAGGGTTTAGGGTTTAGGGCTTAGGGTTTAGGGTTTAAGGTCTATCAACCCGAAGCCTCATGAACCCTTCCAGGCACCCTATAAAGTTAAACAAGTCCGCGAAAAACGTTAGAGCCCTAAGGTCTTTTGGATTCGAGATGTTTAAAGTCATGAGTGTTTGGGGTCAGGGCTCAGGATTTCGGGGTGTATGGCTGAGGCGTTGTGGTTTAGGGTTGTGGGTTGGGCTTTAGGGTAAGGGGTTAGGGACATTCGTCGTGTTTTGGGGGCTAAGGTTGGGCCGGCGTGCTTGGGTTCCCTTATAGGCCGAAACGGCTCAAAGGCATTGAATGGCTTTGCGGCTTCGAGTGGGCCTTTCCGTCAACCCGGAGCCTTTCATGTTCAGGGTTTAGGGTTTAGGGCTTAGGGTTTTGGGGTTTAGGGTTTAGGGTTTAGGGTTTTGGGGTTTAGGGTTTAGGGTTCAGGGCTTTCTACATGTTCACTTTGCGCCGATCTTCGTGGTGCAGGCTTTCGACTCAAGTGAACACCTGGACAAAGCAAATCATAAGACATCGCGCCAACTGTTCATGCTGCATTCCTTCGACTGCAAGGGTTCGGACTTATCACCGTTCTACGTCTACGCTAGACGCTGTTTCTAGTTTCCCTCAACCTCAGTTTTTAGCATGAGAGCGGCACGTCCCAGGGCGCCTTGGCGGCATCAAGCAAATTCGCATTGGACATTACATGCCCCTAAAATTTAGATTTGGTACCTGCGTAGCCTTGGGGTTTGGAGGGGTTTTGGGTTTAAGTCAAGGGATTAAAGGAGGGACCCGTACAAGGGACCTTGGGGGGTATTTAGGGGTTTTTAAGTACATAGGAACTATATATATATATATACATTGTATATAAATATATAGGGGTTATATGTGGGTTAGATAAGGAATAAAATTAAGGGTCCCTTTTAGGGGTCCCTCCTTATATGCCCCTTAATGAAGGGAACTCGGGGACTCCTCCTATACTACCAACTATAGCTGAGGGGCTTCGAAAGCGAAGTTGTACTTCTAAACACCCTAAACCCTCAACCCTCAACCCTAAACCCTAAACCCTCTATACTAGGGGGATTCAAAAGTCTGCCCTCAGACCCTGAGCGGAGTGGGGAGGCCTCCCAAATGTGCACAGCCGAAATGGAGTTTGGTTCAAGGTTCAGGGTTGAGGGTTTTAGGGTTTAGGGTGTCGAGTGTAGGGTGTAGGGTTTAGGGTTTAGGGTTTACCCCAAAAAAAAAAACAAGGACTCTAGTCCTCACTTTTTTGAACACCCCAAAACTATTTTCGGAAAGACCCAAATCCTCAACCCTGCGCTCCAACCCCCAGGTTCTGTTGTGGGCCTGCCTGGCATTTCTACTGGGCGCCGGCACCCAGTTCTCAGGAGTAACAGGATTTAGGGTTAACAGGGTTTACGGTTTAGGGTTAAACCCTCAGTTGTTCAGCGTTTATATAAACCTAAGGGACGGTACAAAGTACATGGTCCCTTAGTTGTAGTCCGTCACCTTCTTTGAATGGTTGTGCCCTTGGGTTTGATAGGGTATATAATATAGGTTCATATGAAGGACCCATGTAACTACCCTAAGATTAAAAGGGCTTTTGGGCCCCAAAGTCAAAGAAGGTTTAGGGTTTAGGTGGCTTTGGTATAGGGTTTGGGGGCTTGGGGTATAGGGAGTGCGAGCCACATAGCAGCTCAAGGCTGGCGACGCCGAAATTCTTGTCCAGTATGGCCGAGCTCCGACGTATCGCTTGGCTTTTCTTTGCCGGAGGCGGCAACCTACAGCCGGCGCTGCATCTTCTGGCTACTTTCGTCGGCTGGAAGGCTACGCAAGACGAATTCAAGATCCGCACCAACTGGGCTGTGCCAGGCTTACACAAGTGAACTACAACAGTCCCATGTTCTTAAACGATTTGTCCTTGTGCAGCAGTGTAAGGTCCAGCTCACGAACAGGACCGATCAAGACCTCTCTGGTTTAGGGTTTAGGGTTTAGAGTTTAGGGTTTAGGGTTTAGGGTTTAGGGGTTCTGGTTTTGGGGGTAGGTTTTAGGGTTTAGGGTTTCTGGTTTAGGTTTAGGGGTTCGGGACACAAAGAAGAACCCCGGTTTTGGGTTGAATGCACTATTGCGGGAGCTGACCTCAACCCAAAAATCTGGGGAGGTTCCTTTTGCCAGGGGGGATGTGCAGACTAAACCCAGCACTAGAGGCTTCATAGTGCTCAAGGTGTAGGGCTTATGCCTTGTTCTGTATTCTGACAGTATCCTAGTCCTACAAGAAGGCGACCCACCCCCCCCCCCCCCCCCCCCCCCCGCCCAAAAACGAGCCCTGACGCCTTCATAACTCGCCTAAACCCTAAACCCGAAGTCCTCCAACCTCTAAACCCTAAACCCTAAACCCGGGAGATGCCTCAACCTTGCAGCCCCAACCCCACCTCAAACCGTCGCTAAGCCCGCCCAAACCCCCAAAACCCTTGTTCCCTAACCTTAAACTTTAAAACCCTAATCCCTAAACCAACCAACCTAAACCCTAGGGGTTTATTTAGGGTTTAGGGTTTAGGGTTTAGGGCGTGCCAAACGGAAGCGTGCTTTGGGAGCGCGCGGTAGTCTGCAGACCTACCCACCCCAAGACCGCCCACTTACAACTCTCAAGGAGTTAAGACCTTTTTTTTCGAAGCATCACATGAGTCAGCACTACGCCCTTTTGGGGACCTCCACAAGGTGCGTGGACCAGGGCATTTGCGATGCGCAGACGGAAAGGCGAGGCAGGGTCAGCGAAGACAGCTTGGGTTGGGGCGAAGGGGCTAAGGCCAGGGATGGCTGGGCCAGGAACAGACACAGGCAGCGAGGCTTGGTTGGCGCGAAGGGCCTAAAGCCAGGGAGGCAGCTTCAGGGAATACAGGCCGTGAGCGGCTTGGGTTGAGTGGACCAGGCCAAAACTGGTGTGCGGACAGCGGGCTTGGCGCGAAGGGGTAAGGCCAGCAAAGCCAGGGCGGCCAAACCAGGAAATCAGAGGGGTCCAGGGGCCAGGGCCAGCTAGGGCCAAAACCCAGGCCCTGGCAGGGCCAAGAGCGGACGGGGGCAAGGGACCCAGGGGTCTCCAGGGGCCCACCCAGGGGCCTCCAATGCAGGACCCAACAATGTGCGCGGACAGTGTGGGGTTTAGGGTATAATACAGTGACAACTGCTGACTCGGCCCGTGCCTGGAGGGTAAGCCAGCCTGGAGGCAAGCTCGGTCGCCCGCCTGGGGCTCCCTCGCAGGGGTTTAGGGTTTATAAAGGGTTTAGGGTTTATAGGGTAAACCCTCGACCTATGAGGCCGGGGCTTTGTCCTTCCTGGGCTGACCAACCGTGGCAGCCGGGTCGCGCGAGCCGCTGAGAGGTATCCCCGGCTGCACCGTTGGCTTCATAGGTTTTGGGTTTAGGGTTTAGGGGGTTTAGGGTTTAGGTTTTAGGGTTCAGGGTTTAAGGTTTAGGGTTGAGGGATGTTTGGTGTTTGCAGTAGGGTTTCGCAGCAAAACATGCTCAACCCGAAGACATTGAACCTTACGGGACTTAGGGGTTCAAAGCTACGCATGGGCCCTAAACCCTAAACCCTGAACCCTGAACCCTAAACCCTTCACCCTAAACCTTAGGCCTGACCTGCCAACTCAAAGGCGTGAGATTACCAAAGTGGAGATCTGCATTCACAGAGACTGCAAGCGTGGCCCGGCCTTTCTGTTAGCAGCGTCTTGTGGGAGCTCTCGGGTTCAGGGTTTACGTGTTTCAGGATTTTCGCGTTTTCGGGTTTTAGGGTGTTAGGGTTTTAGGCTTTAGGGTTTTAGGGCTTCAGGGTTTTAGGGCTTTGGAGGTTTAGGGTTTAGGGTTTTAGGGTTGGCGGCCCGATCGTATAACTATAGGGAGGGGAGAGGTACCTGGGAAGGTGAGTGCTCGGGAATGTTAAGCACCCTACAACTTTCCGTTACTCGCTTATAAGAAACCCCTCCACCCATCCACCCCGCAAAAAACTAAAAAGCATCTTCCTTACAAGGGCAGTATAGGGATAATTATACTGTATTTTGTTCGGTGTTCTTAAGCACATGGCAGCGTTGTGTCTTCGCGGTGGGTCTGGGGTTTATGGAATGAATGTCGCCCACTCGCCCAACATCAAGAAGCAAAAGCAGGATCTTACAGGTATCGACATCCCTACAATACCTCACTCCACAGCCCTAAGCCCCCAAACCCTTGTCATGACCTCCCCTAAACCCTAAACTCTCTTAAGACCTATAACCCTCAACCCTAAACTCCCTTCAAGAACCGATAGCCTTACCCTAAACCCTAAACCCTAAACCCTAAACCCTCCAAGAGCAGCAGGCAGAGGTGGCGGGGCGAAGCTCCGGAAGGTCTTCGAGGACTTGGCTGCAGGGACCGACATCGAGGCGTGGCTTGCCATCTCCGGTGGAGGGTTTAGGGTTTAGGGTTTAGGGTTTAGGGTTTAGGGTTTAGGGTTTAGGGTTTAGGGTGTAGGGTTTAGGGTTTAGGGTTTAGGGTTTAGGGTTTAGGGTTAGGGGCGCCTGAAGCCAAAGCCACAACTCGAAGATGCAAAGTCCAGCCACAGGTTGGGGAGTACGACTGCTTCGACGAGTGCCCTTTCGGACCCAACGTGAGGCCAGCCCTTCGGAGCCCGACACCAGCCCAAACAAAAACGGGTTTAGGGTTTAGGGTTTGGGGTTTAGGGTTTAGGGTTTAGGGTTTGGGGTTTAGGGTTTAGGGTTTGGGGGTTAGGGGTTTGGGGTTTAGGGTGTCTAGCGCAGCTCTCTAGGAGGCGGAGGGGAGGGAAGGGTTGACTTGTGTGAAGGGCCCGTTTAATGTGCAAATGCATGTTTGGGGGCCCGTTCGCTGTGCAGGCTCGCGCTCCGGGTCTACCCTGAAACCTTCAACCCTAAACTCCAAACCCTGCCTCGTAGTTGAACTTGGTAGCCCAGTGGTACCATTTTGCCTTTGTTTTGGGTTCTATAGGTTCGCTTCTAAAGCAGCCAATCCCAAAAAGGGTGCCCTTAGCAAAATTTGGTTTTGTGGGCTACCGAGTGACATTCAGGGGAAGTTAGCTGCTGAGTTAAGTGAGGTTGTTCTGTGGTGTCGGGTTTGGCCCACTTTGATTTGTGCAGTGGATGGGTACGGGTAGTAGGAGACCCTGCAACCCGAATACCATACAAACGCTATACCCTACATACTCTCGAAATACACAAAATGTTTGTAAACCCTAAACCGAACACCTCACATACAACCGTAAACCCTAAGCCCTAAACCCTAATCCCTCTAAACCCTAAACCCTAAACCCTAAGCCCTAAGAAGCTTGGGAGGACACTCAGTGGTCCCGATGACCAGTTCGGGCGCGTGCTGAACGGCGTGAAGGGGGAGAAGAAGGTGGCCGAAATCCTCGGAGTGGACCTGTAGCCTGCCAGCATAGGGTTTTAGGGTTTGGGGTTCAGGGTCTAGGTTTGAGGGTTGAGGTTTTGGCACCAGGGTTTTGGGGTTTATTTAGGGTTCAGGGTTTAGGGTTCAGGTTTGAGGGTTCAGGTTTTAGCACAGAGGGAGAGAACGTTTTGCCACGGCCCCAACGGAGGGTCCGAGGTTGTCTCATCAAGCGTTAAACACAGGCCTACTATAGGGGTCGGAATAATTACGGATATTATTCCATTATGGTTCCTTTATAAGTATTCTACAATATTCCTCATTAAGGCCCCTATATTACCGTCGCTTGCACAAGCATGCTGAAATGAGAACCTGCATCACGCATTGCCTTAAAGTGTGTGATGCGCAGCAGGAAGAAAAGACGCCCCGGTTTGGCTCACGAGTATCTTACGGCCCTGGTCTTCAGCCTGAAAGGTGCAGATGGCACGCCAGCCCCAGTGCGGTATCCACCTGAAGCAGTATGGTAACAGCCTTGCAGGCTGGCCAAGGGTGGGACGTGCACTTTCGAGGTGGCACAGAAGTGGGGCGATCGCAGCAACTTCCTGCGCGGAGAGCTGCGCGACTTGATCGTTGACGCCCGAAGGCACTTTGCCAAGGATTTTAACCTGCCCAAGCAGCGGACGTATCAACCCCATAAACCCTACAAACCCTATAAACCCTATAAACCCTATAAACCCTATAAACCCTATAAACCCTATGAACCCCATAAACCCTATAAACCCTATAAACCCTATAAACCCTATAAACCCTATAAACCCTGGGCAGCCCTGGACAGCTCTAGCGCTGCCGGGATGCTCGGGCACTCCGAACCCCTCCGTGATCTGACACTAGCCCACAGGTTCCCAAAAGCCTCCAAACCCCAACCCCTTTTCCCCAAACCCCAAACCCTAAACCCTAAACCCTAAACCCTAAACCCTACTTAAGCCTTTCGTGATCTGACAACAGACCAGGGGTCAGGTTCCTGCGTGCTAGCCCCTGATGCGGTGGGGGCACATGCCGTGTTTAAGGTTTAGGGTTTGGGCTTTAGAACACTCCAGTTGAGACACGCTTGCTCCACGTTGGTTGAGGTCAGAGGGCTTCAGGATTGGGTGCTGGTGGGAGTGGTGGGGGTGGTGGAGGGTTGGGATTGGGTGTATGGGCTGTGTGTCTATAGGGTTTAGGGTTTTGGGCAAGCAACTGATGTATGCGTTTTTGTTTTCAAAAGTCATGTGTATCATATCACACGTATAGACATCTCATCTACACATACAACTACATGTTAATTAACCCTACACTCCCCCAACACACAACCTAGGACCCGGAGTAGGCCCTTAATTTCCCTTTTCAGGCTTGGGTTTTCCTAGTAGTTTTCTTTAAAAACCAAAAAAGGGAACCCTTTTATTCCTAGGTTACTTGGGTCTAGCACCTACACCCTAAACCCTAATCCCTAAACCCTGAACCCTAAACCCTAAACGCCCCAACCTTTCGCCAAGGCCAGAGGAGGAGAAGTGAGCCTGATGAAGTGACCTGCACGGCTCATCGTTGCCTCGAGATTCATTCTGCCATGAACAGACCCTAAAGCCCCAAACCTTATTTCTTAAACAGTAGCCCTAAACCCAAAACCCGAAGCCCCAAGCCCTAAACCCTAAACCCTAACTAGCTGTAGGTGGCCTTGGTCTAGAAAGCAGACGTGCCGACCAAGAGCCCTAAACCTTAACCGGCTCTGGCACAGAGACACGAGTCCAGACCCCTGAGAGGATCCAAAATGTAGATCCCCTTCAACGTTTCTAAAAATGACCCAGAAGTAGACCCCTAAGAGGTTCCAAAAGGGAGATCCTACTAACTTTGTCAGCAAAATGTTGGGGGTATCATTTTACATTCTTAAGGGTACTTAAACCCAATAAGGAATCGAAAGTTATATTTGCAATATTATGCCAACCATGAACTAGTTCAGGGTTCCTACAAAATTGCCCAAGAGTAGTCTAGGGTACTATTTGGGGGTTCTACTTTCTTTGGGTAGATCCTCTTAGGGGTTCCGAAAAATGCCAAGAGTAGAATAGGGCACCATTTGGGGGTTCTACTTCTTGGATTCTTCTCCCAGTTTTCTGGGGAAGTAGACAAACGTGAGGCGACCAGGCACTGTTGGTGCGGGCCTTCAAGCTTTCGGGTCTTAACGTGTCAGGGTTTAGGCTTTAGGTCATTTTATTTCGGGTTTAGGTTTTAGGGTCTTCGGGTGTTCGGGTTTTAGGTTTTGTTTTTTGGTCTTCATTCCGACCTTTAATTTTCAAGGGTTTTAGGGCTTTAGGTTCTTAGGGTGGGGGGCCTCTCCCCGCGCTGGACCAAGGTTGCGCCTTCAGGGCTTTGTGTTCAGGGCTGTGGGTTTTGCAGCGCCTGTTTTCGTGAGGTGGGGGGGTAGGGGGGGGGGGGGGGGGGGGGTGGGGCACCTTCTCGTAATTACAAAATTCCGGATGCTCGGGAACCCAGTTGGGGGTTAAGGGTCTCGCTAAGTAGGATTAGATAGGGCGGGATCCGAGGCCCTGAAGCCCTCAAAAACAATGCAAAACCTAAAACCTCTGCCTCTGTAGGCTCTAAACCCTAAACCCCCAAACCCCTTTAGGGCCGCCAGAACTGCTGTTCGTTCTGTTCTCTCTCTTTTTTTGTTCTGTCTCTCTCTCTCTCTCTCACTCTCTCTCACTCTCTCTCGCTCTGTCTTTACCTGAAATCCCACCCGAAAGCCTCGTTGCACACATGCGGACGGCAGTCCAGGGTTTAGGTTTTGGGTTTTGGGTTTTAGGGTTTTAGGGTTTTAGGGTTTTAGGGTTTTAGGGTTTTAGGGTTTTAGGGTTTTAGGGTTTTAGGGTTTTAGAGTTTTAGGGTTTCGGGTTTGGGGTTTGCACTCCTTCTCGAGGCAAGCAAGGTCTGGACAGCGGAATGTCGATTCTGACCTCAGGGCTTATGAACTTCAAGCTTTTCCCCCCCCACCCTAACCTTCACAAAACCCCACGAAACTGAGGCTGATGGAGTTAAGAGTCCTGAAGACCAAACCACGGGCCCCCAACTCCAAGGCTTGGGCGCCCTTCTTCCCGGCCCCAAAGCATCCTGGACCCTAGGGCGCAGGATAAACCCTCAAGCCCGAAAGCCCTTAAGCTCCCCTAAACCCTAAACCCTAAACCCTAAACCCTAAACCCTAAACCCTAAACCCCTTTAGACCCTTAAACTCTTCAGCTGGGGAGCTTCCGTGATGCGACATGGCACGCGCGTGGTGCCGGTGCCTCGTGGTGCTGCTGGCGGCCTGGGTGCTCGCCACTGTCCACCGCGATGGAGCGAGCCGCATGGCACAGTGGGGTTCGGGATTTAGGGGTCAGGGTTTAGGGTTGGAAACCAAACTCTGGCTTAATTCCTGACACAGCGGCCTGTTCATTTAGAATGGGTATTCTGGGTAGGTTTCGTATTCGTTATACAGGGTTTGCAAAGGGAACCTGTCCAAAGTATGTCCGATCTGCGTAGTGTTTGTTATTCAAGGTGTTCTTAGAGTAGAGCGCAGGGCACTTTTAGGGTTTTGTATCCTGGGGCTCTCTTTATCTTGCGTAGGTAGATGAAGTCCCAGGCAGAGACATGTGCGTTGATGATGGGCTTAAGGCGAGGTGCAGGACTGAAATCCCAAAAATCATTCGTCAAAGCATGCCCAGTCCATGTTAGTACCTGTTTGTTGCTCTTGCATTCCCCATAAGCAAGAGCACGTCAGACCCTCTACCCGCCAGCCATGGTGGGCTTGGGGGTTTAGGGTTGCAACGTCCCCTGCGCTATCGCGAGGACGAGCAGCGCTGTGACAGTCACATGACATATGTTCGAGAGTATCTTCGGAACCCTGAACCTTAGACCCTAAACTTCCAACCCAGAACCTTCATGTTCAAGCCCAAAAAGAAAGAATGCCCCTAAGCCTCCCAAGCCCTGCAGACCCGAAGAAACTCACAATGGCCCAAAAACCTTTCATAATAAGGCCCAAAGGCCCAAAAATCCTCAAGACGGCCTCAGCCCGAGAAGCCCTTGACCTCCCTGACGGGCTGTAATTGAAGGGTTCTTCGGGGGTTTCAAGGGGGATATGCAACGCAAGGTTCCCAATACTCCCCACTACTCCCTAAGGCTCCCTAAGTTTCCCTAAGGTTTGTCAGGCACCTTCTCGATCAGTGTTAGGGATCCTTTTTACTTTTTGGGTTATGGGCTTTCTTATATATGAACAAAAAGGATCCTTTTTTCTTCCTAGGGGAACAGGGATTGAGCCTTTCCTGATCCCCAAACCCTCAACCCTACACCCTAAATCCGACCCCCTAAGCCTCAAACTGCCCTCCCTTAAGAACCCTATAAGTATAGGTACCTACACCCCTTGAACCCCCCACCCTAAACCATAAACCCTAAACCCTAAGGCTCTAAGGCCCTAAGCTTTAAACCCTAAACCCAATGTAAGGCTTCGCCGTGCCTGCGAATCCCTCCTACAGCCGGCCGCGGCCCGTCGTCAATGGCGCGACCGGAGAGTGGCGCTCACTACCCCCTTGGTGGAGGGTTTAGGGTTTAGGGTTTAGGGTTTGGGCTTAGGGCTTAGGGCTTAGGGCTTAGGGCTTAGGGCTTAGGGCTTAGGGCTTAGGGCTTAGGGCTTAGGGCTTGGGGCTTAGGGCTTAGGGCTTAGGGCTTAGGGTTTAGGGCTTAGGGTTTAGGGTAAACCTCTTTTCCTGAAACCTCAAAAGGCTCAATGTTCACCCCTATGTTCACCCCAAGCCTACATTCGCAGCTGTTTACAAGGCCTCCTTAACCCTCGAAGCCTGAAACCTCCATCTAGCCTAACGCTCTAAACCTTGACTGCAAGGCCTAAATAGAAGCCGATACCCTTAGGGTTTAGGGTTTAGGGTTTTGGGTTTTGGGTTTTGGGTTTAGGGTTTAGGGTTTAGGGTGGTTTAGGGTTTAGGGTTTAGGGTTTAGGGTTTAGGGTTTAGGGTGTAGGGTGTAGGGTGTAGGGTGTAGGGTTTAGGGTTTAGGGTTTAAGCCCTAACCCTAGAACCTAAACCCTAAGTCCTAATCCCCGAAAACCTACACCCCAAGATCTAAACCCTTAACTTTCCTAAGCCTCTTAAGTCTCTAGAAGGTTCTGAAGTAAGGGCCCCGGTTGTACAGGGTATAGAAGGGATATGCAAGGGGTCCCTTTTTCAGGGCCCATATTGAGGAACCGTGTAACTACCCTAAGATAGGGCTTCCTAAACCCTAAACCCTAAACCCGAAGCCCCTAAACCCTACTAAGCCCTGAACCCTAAACCCGAAGACCCTAAACCCTAAGCCCCCCAATCTCCGAAGCAATTTAGGTTGGCAGGGCGCTCTCCACCGCAGCGCACCCTGCGTCGCAGTAATGAGGCTCGGACTCGACTCCCTAAACCTCCAAACCCAATAAAGGCAGGGGTTTAGGGTTTAGGGTTTAGGGTTTTAGGGTTTAGGGTTTTAGGGTTTTAGGGTTTTAGGGTTTTAGGGTTTTAGGGTTTTAGGGTTTTAGGGTTTTAGGGTTTTAGGGTTTTAGGGTTTTAGGGTTTAGGGGTTTTTGGATTTTAGCGTTTTAGGGTTTCAGGGTTTTAGGGTTTTAGGGTTTTAGGGTTTTAGGGTTTTAGGGTTTTAGGGTTTTAGGGTTTTAGGGTTTTAGGGTTTCAGGGTACAAGGGTTTAGGGGTTTAGGGTTTTTGGGTTTTTGGGTTTTGGGGGTTTTGGGGTTTTGGGGTTTTGGGGTTTTGGGGTTTTTGGGTTTTTGGGTTTTTGGGTTTTGGGTTTTTTGGGTTTTTGTTTTTTGGGGCTTTTGGTTTTTGGGTTTTAGGATTTTAGGTTGTAGAGTTTAGGATTTTAGGGTTTAGGGTTTAGGGGTTTTAGGGTTTAGGGTTTTACGGTCTTAGGGTTTTTGGGTTTTAGGCTTTAGGGTTTAGGGTTTAGGCCTAAACCCGAAGGGTGGGGGGGGGGCGGGGGCGGGGTGGGGTTAGGGTTTTCGGGTTTGCGAGTGTAGGGCGCGGTTCGTTTTGGTTCCACATCCTGCCGAGGCCCGAGCTGCAAATGGTGCCCGAAACCCTGCAGAGAAAACATTAGGACCATAAAAAATGATCTCTAAACTCTAAAGTCTTAGAAGCTGTGAGCCTTACCCTTAGAACCCTAGCCCCTAGAACCCTAAAAAACACCCTGAAGGCCCCCCAAAATCCACAAGGCCCACTCCAGAAAAGTTAAGCCCCTCAAGGCTTAAGGAGGTTCCTTGTACTTATGTTTGGCCCTATAAGCACCCAAAATGCCTGTGTGTACCGCTAGGGAGGCGTCATCGCAGACGTGAAGCCTCTGATCTCTGAGACCCTCAAAGCACCGTGGCTTTGGCTCACGCCTCAGAGGGGCTTCGGGCTTCGGGTTTGCGGTTTAGGTTTAGGGCTGTGGGCTTGTATGTCTCAGGGCTCAGGGGTTAACAAGTGCCCTACACCCTAGACTCTATAGGGTTTAAGGGCT